GTGTGTGTGTGTGTGTGTGTGTGTGTACACGTGGTGAAACACCAAACCAAATTGCCAGGATATCTTATCTTATTAAACCTGTGGAAAAATGCTTTTCTGAAGGTTCACCTTTTTGCCATTTGCCATTCTGTCCTCCCTTCTCCCGTATTTTCTTTATTCTACTCTCTATCATTTTTAAAGAAAGAAAAAGCGAACTGAATCGACCACCGAGGGATCTTAAACATGCACAACTTTCACACAGGACGTCCGAGATTTTTCGCCCTTGTCCGACAAGACTAGGTCTAGATCTTACCTACCATACGATCAGGGGTGTGGCTGAAAGACAGCAGTATGAAGGAGCCAAGAAGAAGCAGAAAGAGTCAGGAGCCCAGATGAGGGGGCAAAGGAGGGGAAGGGGTGGGGACAGAAAGTGGAGACGAAAGCAGACGACAGAACATTGTTAGAGAACGGGAAAGGATGTGGAAGGAGAAAATCTTAGAGAAGAAAATTTTCCGTCGGTATCTGGATTCGAAGACGGGACCTATAGAATGAGAGGCGAAGACCTTAACCTGTAGGCCACGAGAGTCCCCCTCTCCTTAATTTAACGCTCATCCGTCCATTTCCGATAGGGCCGATCCAAATGGATGCTGGAGAGCCTTCAAACTCCCCGAAACAACCCAAGTTCAGAACGCCCCGTTAAGAATTCGGCCCGCGATGAACAGCTAATCTGGTTCGTCGCCATGCCACAATGCGGGAAAAACAACAACGAATAAAACAAAACCACAACGAATAAAACAAAATAGCAGCAACAAAAACAACAAATAAAAAACCCTTGGAAAATGTGTTCGTAACACCCTCAGGACATGGTGATCAAATTAAAGTACGTAGCCTATTCATTGAACTCTAACTGTGAAAACTGCACGTCCTTTTATAGACTTCGTAACTTCTAACTAATGTATCACACTCTTGCACCGATGACTTTGGTAGCGCAGTGGTTAGGCAAGCGGACCCATAAACATGACGTTATGTCCTCGGGAAAGGCAATTTGCCCGAATTTACCCTTTGGCTCACGGTTTTTTCAGCGATGGACGTTGCACTCGGAGGTCCCACCTCTTAAATCACCTAATAGTGTTGACAGGGGCGTTAAACCTATACCATTTTACCAATTTCACAGCGTTGCAAGGGGCATTAAACCTTGGGGGAAACGTTTTTCTGTAGGTTCGCCTTTTTTGCCATTTGCCATTCTGTCCTCCCTTTTCCCCTATTTTCTTTCCACCTGGTGATCAAATTAAAGTACGTAGCCTATTAATTGAACTCTAACTGTGAAAACTGCACGTCCTTTTATAGACTTCGTAACTTCTAGCTAATGTATCACACTCTTGCACCAAGGACTTCGGTAGTGCAGTGACCGTTAAGTAACCAGACCCATAATTGCGACGCTATGTCCTCGGGAAAGGCAATTTGCGCGAATTTACCATTTGCCTCGGTTTTTTTCGGAGAAGGACGTTAAACTCACTCAAATTTAATAACCTAATAGAATAGTGTTGGCTGGGGCGTAAAGCCTATACCATTTTCACCGTTTACTCTTGCACCCTTTTAATACGATACATTTTTTCCTTAAACACATTAGTGTGTTGTAGTGAACAAAATTTACAGTTATAAGGCCGCACTCGGTATTCTCTTCGTTATCCGGGCCATTTTGAATTTTAAAAAAAAAGAAAAGTTTAGTGACTCACCCCCCCCCCCCCCCCCCCCCCCCCCCCCCCCCCCCCCCGGGTGGAACTCCTATCTTCGTCCTTACTTTTTGTATACAGTATACGGTGCTCCCCAAAATAGTATCCACACGCACTGATATTATAGTCGTCATCACTGGCACTTTTGAGGATTTAGAAACATCTTTTTTTCTACTGTTCTCTATGAGAGAGCCGAAAGAGAATAATTGAAATAATTGTAGAGTACAATCTTTGACCTAAAAATGATATAACTTCTGCTTGAACTTGCCAATTTGTGAGTCCCCCATGTCCTCCTTGGCAACACCCTGAACAAACATTTGGATTTCCTCGTCACTGAGTTCCTGGCCATCCCTTTTCTTGGCAATTAGGTCAGGGTAGCGGACTGGTGCCATTTTTCTGTGGAATGATAATATAGGCCCCATCATTAGAACAAATCGAAACATTCGTTTCTGTGCAATAATAATATAGGCTCATCAGTAGAAATAATATGGGCCCAATCAATAGAACAAATCAGAACATTCCTTTGTGTGGAATAATAACATGGGTCCTATCATTAGAACAAATCAAAACATTTGTTTCTGTGCAATAATAATATATATAGGCCCTATCGTTAGAACAGTTAATCAGGACATTCGTTTCTATGGAATTATAATATTATAGGCCCTATCATTAGAACAAATCAGAACTTTCTTTAAAAGCCGCCTATGTGATTTTTATAGAAATACGAATTTGATGGCAATGGACAAACTCATGTATATCTGCCCACTTAACACACTAGGGAATCGTAGCTTTTTTTCAGAGCATCCGAGCAACGGAATAAATAGAAAACCATGATCGCCGATGTCTGTAGCAGATTTGGCACTGGATGATGATGATGAATGTCTGGTATATTGCATACTAGACTGGCTTAGTGGACAAAGCAGAATACTCTGAGATCAGAACTGCAAGAATGGTATCTAAAAGGTTGTAGCACTATCCTTTAAGTAAAGAAGCACATCAACACAAAAGTTATCATTTAGTGCTGGGAAAAAGTAATACAGACCGACAGAAACAACAGAAAAATGGTGAAACGGTATTGGGTTAAAGCCCCTATCAACACTCTCAGAGGACAAGTAAAGAGGGAGTTCCTTCCACCAGTGGCGCCCTCCAGCCACCCGCATAGCACTATCGATCATGTCTTCTCTCAGTATATCATATCTTCTTCAATCAGTAGGTCAAAAGTATCTTTCAAAGAAATTTAGATGTCTATATGTAATTCTTAAAATAAATATATCCCGAAGCATTTGATTGTGGCCCAAATGAAGGTTTCCAGACAGTTTTAGGGAAAAGAGGCCTGAGAGGAAAAATTAATGTGAACCTTTCGACAAAATAGTCTACATTGTATGATATTATGCTCTGAATTTATGTGTTCTGTCCGTATAGGTCAGAATGACAGAATGACATCCCTGGATATCTTAATTACGTATCGGGTAATAATAATTATTGTATTTATATAGCGCACATTCACGGTCTACAACATGCTCTGTATGTACTTTACTTTATAACCTTGATTACCTCAACAAATGCTAGAACACTCAAAAATATTCTCGGCTTCCCGAGAAGCAATTAGTGCAAGCTGTGGATTACAGGCACTCAAACACTAACAAACTGATACGATCTTTCGCTGTCTATAGCCGAGTACCCATTTCCCCCTGGATAAAGAAAGGAAAATTCGTGTTCAGTCAGTAAAGTGCCCTTCCCAAGAACACAACGCCGGGCCCCTAACGGGATTCGAACTCACGTCCTTACGGTTGCAAGTCCGAGAGCCGAACCAATAGGCCACCGACGATCAATGATACATTCTTGGCTCACCATCTACAATTCTTAATTTGAATGTATGTTGATGAACAGTGGCACCAGAGGAAGTGACCTCTTAAACAATGACGAATATCACTTTTTTGTACGCTACTAACGTTTGCTTGTAATCAGATAATTTCATAGACACGCAAAGAAAGATTTATAAGAAAATCTGGAAAAGGCTTTGATAATTATTTTTTTTTAGAAATGGAAGAGGGCTAAGGTATTCTCAAAGATGGCACATGTTATCACATGTATTACAAAAAGAAAAGCATGAACATAAGAACGCACTTTACCTACCTCGGGTAATATTTTTTTCCTCTCGTCTTTTATGGTCAACGTGTTTTAAAAAAATGATGTTGTAGAGCACCAAGGCTCACATGCAGAGTGAGAGGTTTATATACAAGACATGGGCACTAGAGTGTCAAGACTTTGTTCAAACTATTTGACGATACACACACAAACACACACACACACACACACACACACACACACACACACACACACACACACACATACACACATACACACACGCAACTTTTTGTTTGGTTTTGAATTATGGGGAGTGAAGGGGTGAGACACAATAGGGCGGGTGCGCTTTCAATTCTGCAAGCCTTTTCTAAACATTGGTCGAACGTCTTTAAATATCTTAGCAATGGGGGAATGTGGACAACATCATCCATCTTTCACTTATCATCTACAATATATATGCAAAAGCTTGATATTGGTATAAGCTACTGGTAGTGCATGACAATATGTAGGCAAGGAATGTTCTTTGCAAGCATACTACACATTTATATGACAAAAAAGAGCAGAGTCATTGAAATGAGAAAACTGTTGTGTACATTGAGGTTTGGATACGTATGTTGGTTTTTTCGTTTTTGTTTTGTTTAGGGGTGGGGATCTGGGTTTTCTTCTTTTTTTTTGGGGGGG